CGGAGCGCGGCGGCGCCAGGTGCCGCCCGGCCGCGGGCAAAGGCCGGGAGGGCAGGGGGCCCGGGCGGAGGCAGCGGCGGGGGTGCCGCGCCGGTAACCGGCAGCCGGGTATCCCGTCCCTCCGGAGCTCCACAGAACGCTGAGCGGAGCCCGGCGCCGCAGCAGCTTTGCCCGAGGGGTTGTGTTACTCCTTTTCCCCTTGCAGTCCTTCCATCTTCACACCTACTGCTCTCCCAGGGTGCCATCTCAAAAACAAAAAACAAAACAAAAAACAAACCAGACTTAATTATTATGGTGGGATCCTAGGCTTAAGAAACAAAGTGAGTCAAACTAATTAGAGTCCTAAGCTGAGATCAGGGTGTAACTGACACATGGAGACAGAGGATCCTTCCAGCTGAAGCACCAGCAGAGAGCAGGGTGCCAGACTCTTCTTTCTATTCAGCTGACTGCAGCCAAGCCTTAACGTGTTTTCCCCTAAAACTTTATGGGGCCTTTGATTTATGGCATGGTGACAGTGTGAAGTAAGAGCAGCTGTTAATCTGCTAATGTTTGTCAAGCCAAAAAAAGAAGAGTCAGGCAAATATTAGTGCTGAGAATAATGTAGACAAAATTACTTATGCCAATTCATATGCATCAACCAACCGACAGATCCAAACCATGTGTCAGGCCCCTTCCTTCCCCACCTGGCACAGGCAGAACTGCTCAGCTGACGGCTGGCCAGTTGTGGAAAGCTATAAAAAATGGGGGAATGGCATTGAGGAGTTAAATGGGAAGATGCCACAAGGCTGTTCCACTGTCTGCACGCAACCGAGAAGCAGAAGGGAATGAGACATTCTCCAGGGTGCCCGTGTGAAACGTGGTACGTGTGTCAGTCTGCTGGCACATCCAGGCACACACATCATTTCTCCATCCCAGTTCCACTGTAGTCACTGGTTCAGCACAAGCACATTGCCACCCCTCACAGCCAGCCAGTAGCAAACTGGCTAATGCTCTCTGCTTGCTTGTGCCACTTGTCTTACACTCCATGTTACTTTGAGCTTCTACGTGTAGAAAAGAAGCTTCAATTGCTTTTCTCAACGTAGGGCTGAAGGCCAATAACCATAAAGCCAAGGCTGACAATTCACCTCTGTTCCCACAGACCAGGTACAGAGGTTGTTGGAGATGAGGCCACAGCACTTAACATCTGAACTAGAACAACTCATTTTGCCTTCTTGTAAAAACCCACACTACCACTCCCAGCCAGTGGCTGATCTCACAAAAATACACAAAGTCGAAGAAGCAGGTTTAGCCAAAAGATATCAATTGTTGCAGGAAACAAGTTACCTTTTCAGAGGAACTTGTCAGTATTTGGTAGTTCCATACATGTATGCGAGGTTTCTGTAACACTTTCCACAGCTACATAGAACCAGCTACACCAAACTAAAATGTGTAAACATAATAAAAGTAACAAAGCCCAAAGTCAAAAGGCCTTTGAAACAAACACTTTTTTTCCCTGTTGCTTGCATAAGACTTGGCACATCTAATATAAGTTCCACAGAGATCTGCACAACATTACTCCACACAAAAGCACATAAGTAAACCGTCCCTCCCAAATTTAATCTGATGCCTTCCCTTTTCCCACTTCTGAGTACACCTGAAAACAAAACTTAAAACACAGGTTTGTGTGAGTTTTGAAACAAACCTGAACCCCAATCCTAAATCTGGGCCCCTGCCAAACCCTGATCTAAACCCAGCTGCACATTCAGCTGGCACCAGCCTGGAAATGCCACCTAGATCTGCTTAGCCAAGGTCACCCACCTCAGGCTGACTGAAACCCAAACCACACCACTGTGGTAGCTCTGACCCAGTGACCACTGACACTTCTGTACCTGAACTTTATCAGGTTCCCTGTAAGCAGCAACCTTAATCTACTGGTCCTTTACTGTAGACAGAAAAATAGCAAAACTATTAAATTTGAATTAAAAAAAAAAACACAAAACACTTACTAGACCAATAATTGATAATAAATGACCTCCAATAACAGTGCCTTCCCATGTAGAGGCAAAGGCTCATTTTTCAAAGCTGCTGAACACCTACACTGTCATGGATTTTACTGGACAGAAAATGTACTGGGAGAAGACACAATCATTATCTTTGAAAATATGACATGGAGATTAGACATGTTTGTTAACACATGGTTTTCCATCACATCTTTTAAAATGCCCCAGCTCCCCATTTTTTTTTATTTCTAAGAGCTTCCTGACTTCCTGTTCCCAGCTGCTCTGATACAGTCAGAGTACAGCCTTTTCTCACATATCCTCATCTCTGTCCACGAGGAAATAAAGCTCTTTTGGGTTTTTCTAAACATGTATTTTTAGGATTGTGTTTGAATATTGAAATATCCTCTTTATGCTCCCACACATACTTCCCCAAGACTTCTTACGGAGATGGTCTGCAATTTTAGTAAATAGATTACTTAAATGAATACCTTGATTTAGGAACAGAACACATACACCAAACAAGAAGAGATGCCACCTGTAGCACAGATCCCTCCTGCAGCTGCAGGCGGTGCTGCCTGACCCCCCGCAGCAGAGTCCAGGCAGGGGGAGAGGGTGGAAGCTGCTGTGCAAGTGTGGGGCACACTCCACTGGGCTGCACACCTCCTTGGGGCCATTGAGTACCTGCAGGAGTGATGGGCAACTCTCCCTGCTCACCAGGCAACTGGGCTTTCCTGGGCAGCCCACACCATGCACCTCCTGGCCCACTAATTATACTGACCCCTCCACAGGACAACACCTACATGTCTGTCTAGGCTCAGTCTGCGGGATGGGGATTCTCCAGGATGGGGATTATTCTTCCATGCAAAGTGCCTACCTGATAGTGAGGACAATCTCAACTGAATTCTAGTAACACTGGGTGACAGAGAAGAAACAGGAGTAATTTCATCACACCATCTTTGATATTTTTTCTTGGAGATATTCTTCTTCTGGCATACCTCTATATCATAGCATCTGTAAAGCTAGAAAAAAAAGAAGCAGTAGTAAAAGCAAAAAAAGAGCAGAAGCAAAACAGGGTAATACACACATTCTCATACACTGTTTACCTACATGACTTCTACCCAATTTTAAAGACTGCAAAACGAGCAATTTCAGTTGAGCGCTGAGGGCTGAAACATTGCTTTTAGGTAGTGGGGTGGCAAAGAGTTCATATTAACTGTTGTATTTTTACTCTTGCAAGCTGTATTTACACGGAAGGATATTACTCTTTACATGAGTCCCAGGTGATAGAAGAAAAGTCTTGCTCATCAAGGCAATAAACTATATTGCTAATTTAGAGGTAAAGCGTTTTGCCGACCAGTACACGTACAGATGGTCTTGCCTTCACAGCAGCACTCAGGTGTATTTTCATTGCAACACCTGAAACAAAATACACCAGCCTTATCTTTTGTCTTACACTGCAGTGTGAATGACAGTGCAACATTAGTTCTGTAAATTACTGCTTAGAGACTATTGCCTTTGCAGGTGTACAAATTTTGAAATTATTCTTTATCAAGCTGTACATGATACGCTTCATTAAGTTGCAAGTTTGTAAAAGCTGAACACATTTGTTGAAACTTATCCATTTGCCAAGCAGAGTTTTCTATTTCCTTTCTTAAACCCTGTGGCTTGACATCGTGGAGACAAAGGGATAGACAGGAACAAAACCAAGAAGGAAAGAGTTATCAGGTAGGGCCAACATCTACACTTTCAAGCTACATAACACTTCAGAAACGACACTTAGATTATAGGATTGAGTTAGTCATAACCTCCCAGATCCACGGCTGCCAACAGCTACTGCCTGGAGGAAAACAGCAAAAATTCTCCACAGCAATGCTGTTGTGACACTGCCAGGTACCAACAACAGGGCTGCTCTTCCCAGCAGTTCAGTTCCCTCACCTACATCAAGCATATTGGAGAAAGCTAAATCTGTCACATCATAAAGAGTTCTTGGCTGTGCTGGTATCACAAAGGACTGGTTTGAAGACATATAATGGTGGTGGTGGGGATATTACTGTCCAGTTTTGGTGCCTATTTTTCTACAAATCACTTTGCCAAGGACTGAGAAAAGTAAAGTAGTACAAGTATACTTCAAACTACGGGAAAGCAGTGATATTTGTGTGCTTATTTCAACTTAACCCACACTTTGATTTAAAAAAATGAATAAATAAATCATCTTTTCTGCCTTCATATACCACCTTACAAGGAAACTTAACACATACTGTCTGTTTTGCCTAACATGAATAGCCAAATTAATATTTATGCTGCTATAATTTGGATTCAGTGATGTAAATCGGTAAGAATACAAGTCTTGCAAAGCTTTTAGCAGTTATATGCACACAACTAATCCAACAAAGATCAAATAACCAATTAGATTTAATGAGGTTTATTGTTTTAAAAAAAATGGACTCCTGCAAAGTAAGGCAATAAAGTGTCAAGCTCAGAATTAAGCTAAAGACCAGCCAGCAGTGTTGTAAAGCAAGCAGCAGGTGGCAGAAAGTGTCTGCTGAAGCGTAGTTTGGAATAAATCAGCCAGAGAACTCTCTCAGATGCCAGAATCCCAAAAGAACAGTTCCAGAAACAACCTTTATTATTTATGCTATTATCACTTAGGTGACAGCACACCAAATAAAAGATTCTGTAGCCATTATCCAAGACAAAACAAAACCATTTGTCTTATGAACATGGCAAAGCTACCATTATCAGGGAAAAAGCCAGATTTCGCTGAATTAAAAATTGGCTTATGTAAACCTGTACAGCTACAGGTGGGGGAACACAAATTAAGCATCCAGGTTAACAACAGCAAAGACAAAAGCATGGGAAACTGAGATTCCTTACTTAGCAATGGTAATTCCTAAATTTGTAGAATATTACAAAATAAAAACTCCAAGAGTTACTGCACAGTTAAGTGTCTTCTGCTGCTATGACTTGGTAGTTTAAAAACAAGTGTGTACACTGAATGTGAAACAAACAGTACAAAAAAAGACTTAAAACTGTCATTTTATCCATTCCTAAAAAAGATGCAGCTGCTGCAACTCCTCATGTGGATGCAATAAAACCTCAGTAAGAAAGAGTATACCACTACTACATTTATCTACTTGATAAGTATTTTTTTATAAAATCAGGCAAGACTGGATGTATACAGTAGTAGAATTACTCACTCTAGCTGTGCACACTAATGCAAGCACACAAGTTTAGATGCCAGTATCATTTCATTAATCCAATGTGGCTTTTACTTTTTATGCAATAAGACACAAAAGGAGCATTCAGAACCATATCCTATGGAGATAATCAATTTAGTTTTGACTGATATAATTTAAGAGCTCGTTAATAATAATAAAAAAGTTACGTAAACTGACCAAACTTCCCCTGTAAGTTAATTCTTTCCCCTTTATTAAAGAAAAACACTTCATTAAAATTAGTTCCTTATTCACACAAGAACCAGATTTTACTACAATTTTATGGGAAAAGTTATCAATTACATTTTTACATATGTATACGCGATTCCTCAGGCAAGCACTCAAGCTTTTACTCCTTTGATCAGAAATTATTCCAAAGAAACACTGAAATATGCAATTGCGAAAGCATTACTTCCTATGCTTAGAATTCTGTATTTTCAGTAAAAGTAGCCATGATTCTTGAAACAAAACAAAACCATCCCCATAGTTCTTCGGAAAAAAAACCCCACAGTTCTTCAGAAAGGGATGACTAAACTGTATTCTAGAGGAGGGAACACAAATCAAGAAATAACATAGGAATTTAATCCCAATTTGGATACTGAGGCATCTCGTATCATGTTATACTTTAATAAGAACAGTTTAAATTCCCAGAATCTAATTTTGAAGTTACATTACAAAATAAAATATTTAAACACTATTTAGTTATGTACATTCTGCTCCAAAAATGGACTGTGGAAATTTTTGACATTTCTCTTAGAAATACATACAAACCACAGCACAGGTCAAAAATCCACTGGCAATTAAGAGACACAAGTCAACTTAAAAGAAAAATACCTGTGGACATCTGTAACTGATTACTGCTTCAGTAACAGCATTTCAGCATCTCTTCAGACTGCTTCAAGCAGTTTGTTCTCCCGGCCCCAAAACATCATTCCGGTTTACCTTGCATGTTGGATAATTACTCGTTAGAGTACCTCTTTCACAGAAAAAGATGACAAATATTAAGAACAGGGAATTATAAGTTCAGAATATTGTAATACAGGAGAGTCCAGACAGGTGTACACACCCGTGAATCATCTAAAATGGAAGAAAAAGTAAAATTGACTGTGGCCCTCTGGTATTTTATGGAAAAACTCACATAGCTTACCCTTCATCTTACTTCAAAACACAGCACTTGCACTACTGCTTAAAAAGTAATACAGATATAAAGTACCTAGTTAGACTGTAGGAACAAATACTTTAAAGCTCTTTTACCAGTCTAGACAACATTCATTTGAACGGGAGTCCACACCAAGTGCTGCGAGTAAGCAATTACATTCAAAGAAATGGATATCAACCTCCACTCCACATGTAACAGCAACAAATACTATTAATCATCAATTTGGGCAAGGAAAGCATAACAAAAATTCTCATACGTAGCCCCGAAGTGCAAATGAATTACTTGTTAAGGAAAAAAAATTAAATGCAGTAGTTTCTCCTACAGGTAACTCAATTATACATGAAGTGGAAATTGTTCAGTTTTGATTGTGTTTTATTTGTCACACTAAACGAAGAAACAACTTCTAACTCCCTAGAAATCTGCTTAGACTACACAGTCTTCCTGTCGAGCCACTACAGAGACAACAGTTCCCTGGTTTGACTCAAATGCTTGAGAAAGCACAAATTCATTAATCTTTGTGTTTTGTACACATCAATTCTGACAGTCTTTAGTGTTCTGTTTCCCCCTGCCCCAACCAATTCAGCTGGGAAATTATTCAGAAGTTACTTTACAACTGTTCTTAAGTTATTTTGTGACAAAAAAAATAAAAGACTGCTGCAATAAAGTGAGCTTTCAGACAAGTGCCTTGAAAGCTTCTTCAGTTCATTTGAGACTGACCAAACTAAGACTGTATAAGAAGTCAGTATTTATGAACCAGGGCATCGAAAAAGACATCCCAACTGCCTGAATCAAAGCAGTTTCAGGGAAATAGGCAGCCACCAAAATCCAGGGATAAGAACAGAACTTTTAACTAGTATTCTGTATTTTGTCTGAAAAATATGTACGCCAGTCACCAAATCTCTCTCAGAATTCTAAACACCAGAAGAAGAGACAAAAAAATTTGACAGTTATTTAAATCTGTGATGCCCAAATTCTCCTATATACATACATATAAAAAAAATTAACTTACATCATAATAATATCAAACTGCATAGCATTACAAAAGAAGGCAACTTGAATAGCTGAAATTAAAACATTTGAATGTTACCAACCCTATCATCACCATTCTGGAATTTATAGTATCATAGAGTAGACCGTTGCTAGTAACGGGTATAGCCCAGTTGAACCAAAATCTGCCTTAATTCCAGAGAACACAGGAATGATTAATTCAGACAGGTTGTTGCATGTTCTGCTTTCATGTTCTCCTGGCAGGTTTTGCTGTTAACTGCTTCTCCCTCTCAAGCTCCTTCTCACGTTGTTGCTCTCGTTCTAGTTCCTCCTTCTGCCTCTTCTGTTGCAGCTTAAGTGCTCTTTTCTAAACAGAAAAGACAAGAAAATAATTGTAAGTTTTACAGCTGTATTTAAGTTGGACCTACAAACAAAATCACTCCCATTCTCTTAACATTCTCTTCTCCAATCCACACTGCTTACGAATAAATGTTGCATTTTTTCTTCTTCCCTTCCACTTCATCTTACTTTTCAGAAACAGCCAGTCTGTGATTTACACAGGGAAAACACAAACTGGATTCTTTTCAGTCTCACTAAAAGTCATTCTTCGTGTATATCACACAAGGTGCCTACTGTGCAATTTATTGCCTCCAAGAGAAAATCCCTTTGTTGAACATACCAAAAGAGTAATCCTACCAGAATTTAACCAGACACTGCCTGTATAGCATGAAGTCAGTGAACTTACACCACAGGATACTACATTTAATAGGAGAAATTCTTACATTTGTGACAGTTTAATTTTCATTAAAAAAGCACAGAAACTGAAACAACAAAGAACTAGTTGGAATGGAGCGGATTAAGCGACAGAATAAAGCATGATTCTTATACCACATGAGCATGATGACAACACTGAGATTTACTAGTAGTTCAGATGCACAAGTTGTCTGAGCACAGGCAGGAGTAAGTGAAAGTTTAAAAACATACCTGGTTTGGTGCTACTGACAATATCCATTTAACTGGAGATTCTATTTTAACCAGAACTTTCAGCATGCATCCAAAATAAATGTTAGATATTTAAGTATGTATTCTTGACTTCTATGTTGTAAAGTAAAAATACTTATGTCACTCACTTTTAACTTTGATGTCTTCTCATGGAGCATCATCATTTCATTCCTAATGTTCACTAACTTGCTGTGATACTGTTTAGCTTCTGAAAACTTAAAAAAAAAAAACCATAACAGCTAAAGCAGTGACTGTCAAGTTGGCATAGTTGTTCTATAAAGCTGCACAGCAAAATCAGCAATCAACAATATAGTTATTACCAGAATAGTTTGATAATGGATTAAGCATGTTCAAGTTTTAGATATAAAAGTTTACATATCACATATATTAATACAGAAAACTACCATACCTCAAACAGGTACACCCAGTAATCTACTGAATTAAGATTCATTAGACAGAATAAAAATACTACCACTTCATGCACCATCTAGTAGTGTTTCACAGACCCTTCCTGCTAGTCTGGAGAGGTGCACAGAGCTCATGTTGGAGTCTCAGTCCTACAGAAAAATGGCATACATGTGCTTCTGCTACTGGTTTGGAACAACTAGACTTACTACCACTGGCTGACCGAGCCCGCTCTTCCTTCCCAGTACCCTTTCTATTTAAGGGAAATATGCTGGTTCTGCACCCTCTCCAGCAACAATTTGTCTGGAATATCTGAACTGGTTGGTTCTCTTCCTGTAGGCCATTAAAAACAAGGAAAATCCACAAGTTGCTACTAATGTTTCAGCAATAAAATATACACTGATACAGATTTAAGAAAGCATTTATAGTACTTACCAAAACATTGATATCAAGAATGGAGTTACACTCTTTGAATTTTGAAATTTCTTGTTCTAATGTTTCTAGTAATACTACTTGGTTCTGTCTGAAACAAAAAAAAAATTAATGCATAAAACCAAAGTAAAACAGCACATATCCTTTTCAATCAGCCCTTTAAATAAATACTACTTTTGTTCATAACAATACAAATACATGCCTCCCAATACCAGATTCCTTTTATGCATTGCTAGGTGACTTCAACTAAGACACAAGTAAATGGTGTTAGAAAAATCCCAGCTGAGTACACACAAGTTCAGCTGGCACCATACAGTATGATAAGATATCCAGGATGAATATCCAAAAACCCTGAACAGGCACACTGCAGCTTGCAGAGAGTAAACACCCCCAGGTTGAATGAAGGGAAAAACAATTAGCTTTTGACTTTCCACTCAGTTGGCTCTGCGTCATGCTGCAGGACTAAGTTATTTCTGCAGAGAAGTTGTGTGAGTCCTTGGTGCTTATTAAGGATCTTCCATCCCACACAAATCAGCTAAAGTCTTTCCAGACACAGGCTGTCCCTGGCAGCAGCATAACAACATCACACACTGTGAAACCCAAACCCTGCAAAACCCGAGATGGATTTGTGTAAAGCCTTTTCCAGTATCTTAATATCTATGGTAAATCCAGTCTGAAATAAACTGTTACCAGTGAGATGTCAGTGTACAAAGAATTCTTATCCGTTTAGTTCCTTAATTAGATTTTCCAAGTGTATCTTTTGCAACACAGTTTAGAGACTGCACAACAAACAATACATTGCACTACAGGCTGCCCTGAATATGAACTGCATCTCTGCAGCAACATAAACCCAGCTTTCAGCAGACTTTCCACTACAAAAATGAGCAAGTATTTAAGAAATCTACACGCCTTCTGCTATACCTGGCTTAGGGGATTTCAGTGTTCTAGCATTATACATTCTTCAGTCAAAGTTCTGACTGGCTGCCCTGCAGCTTATACGCCTCTGTGTACTCCTGCAAATCACTTAACTATTCAGGATGCTACAGTCAGAACACAGAAATGCTACAGTAAGCTGTATTCCAGTTAAGGGTAGCTAGAACATTCTACTAAAAAAAAAAAGTGGCAAAGTATGCACATATAAGAAGTTGGTTTTTAGAAATTTGCTTACGTAAGTTCCTGCAGTGCTGATTTTGATCGCTGAAGATCAGGCAGATAATGAGAAATCAATCCTTCAGTTAGCTGCTCCACAGCTTTTTCATCTATTAAAGGAAGATCTTCTACTACTCCTTCATCTGGAGATGCATCACTAGAACCTATGGCAAAGAATAGCAAGGCTGAATGCAACAGGTCAGCATGCACTTCAAGTTTTATCTAGATCAACTATATTTTCCTGTTTAAAAATTAAAAGCATTTTAACACTCAAGGTTTAATTCTTTGCACTTTATCCACTAAACTCTGCTTCCTTTTTCCTCCCCCTCTTTGTCCCTCCCTTATTCGTAGTCCTATACCATGAGCTTCCTAGTGAACAGTTTTATCTGATTAAGGGTAGCTAGAACATTCTACTAAAAAAAAAAAGTGGCAAAGTATGCACATATAAGAAGTTGGTTTTTAGAAATTTGCTTACGTAAGTTCCTGCAGTGCTGATTTTGATCGCTGAAGATCAGGCAGATAATGAGAAATCAATCCTTCAGTTAGCTGCTCCACAGCTTTTTCATCTATTAAAGGAAGATCTTCTACTACTCCTTCATCTGGAGATGCATCACTAGAACCTATGGCAAAGAATAGCAAGGCTGAATGCAACAGGTCAGCATGCACTTCAAGTTTTATCTAGATCAACTATATTTTCCTGTTTAAAAATTAAAAGCATTTTAACACTCAAGGTTTAATTCTTTGCACTTTATCCACTAAACTCTGCTTCCTTTTTCCTCCCCCTCTTTGTCCCTCCCTTATTCGTAGTCCTATACCATGAGCTTCCTAGTGAACAGTTTTATCTGAACACTAGCAAAATAAAAATAGGTAAATAGTCTTCCAAAGACATCTTAAAAAAAAATGATTACAAGTACTTCAGTCTATTGAGGAGAAAAAAAAAAGAAAAAGAAAAAAGAGGCAGTACCAGCTATTCTGGCTATGCATCAAAAATACCTGAACATTAACACACCCCCATCCTCTGCTCTCAAAGTTAAGAGAATAAACCTAGGCCTACCAAATAAAGACCCATCACTCAAAACATTGAAGAGTTGATTAAAACACCAGACGCTGAACTTGCAAACTCTTAAGCTTGCAAGAGTTAGTTACCAGTTACTGTGGATTTTGTCTGGGCAAAACTATGAATTATTTATTGTGTGCAGAGCTAGAAGACAAAACCTTTTAATCTGCAGGCCCCACGGCACAGGGGAAGCCACGGCCGCAGCACGCCTTCCCTTTCCGAGCCGACCCTGCCCGGGCTCCCCGGGGGCGGGCGGTGGAGCCGAGGCCCGGGCTCCCGCCGGCCCAGGACACAGAGCGCTCCCCGCGGGCTCTCACCTCTGACGGGGGAGGGAGAACAGAACCAGCCCCTCCTCGGGCCTTCCCTCACCCGCCTCCTGCCCGGCCACCCCTCACATACCCAGCGACCGCCCGGAGCTGCCCGCCGCCACCTCCTCCTCCTTCTCCTTCTCCTCAAGCCGCTCCGCGACGCTCATGGCTGCCGCTCCCAGCGAGGCCCCTCGGGCAGGGCGGGGTCCGGCCGGGCGGCGGGGCTCTGCCCGCCCTCACCGAGCGGGGCGGCACGGCGCCACCGGCCCTGGGCTCTCACCATAGAATCTCCTCAGAGCGCACCCGGCTAGAAGAGCCGCCGCTCCGGATGCGGAAATGACGTAGGAGGGCCGGTCGGAGGCCCGGCGGGGCGGGGAGGCTTCGGCGGTGGCCGGGGTATGGCGGCACGGGGTATGGGGCTGCCAGGCCGGAGAAGGGACGTTTTATGCTCCAGAAACGGTGCGGAGCATCCGCCGCTTCTCATGAGGGAGCCCCTCGGAAAGTGTGGAAATGCGGCATTTCCGTACACCCCCAGCCCTTCCAGAACGAACGGAACTCGGGGGGTCCCGCGAGTGCTCTTCAGAAACACACCCGGGCAAAAAGTGGGCTTTTGAGATGAGCTGTCACCCTTAAAATCGACATTTTGAACCACAAGTTTGTTGCAAATTCGTTTATATTTTTTCTTCATGTGTATATTCTAATTACCACAATTACATCACTGTTCTGTCACCAGATTAAGAATTTACCTGTTTTTCTTCTTTTGCTTTAAAAAAGAAGCATCAAAGACCTGGTCTGAAGCCAGACTGTGACAACAGGAACTTGTCCATTAACTTAAACAGACACGAATGAAATTCCTAATTACAAGTGGTGAGCGGTTTTACTTAAAGTTTGTTGCAGCGGGGAAACTTTCGTGGCAAGTTTCACTGGGAAAGGCTTCTCAGCTTCCAGATGGAATTTCTCGTAAGAACAAGTGAGATAATCACTCTGAAATAGTCTCACTTGAGATGTGGGAGTTTCAGATTTGTGCTCCTGCTTTGCCAGTTCCAGGCCCTCCCACATCTTGCAGAAATAGACTAAGGACTGGAATATAAAATTGGTATCTGTTTTTCTCAGCAAGTTAAAATTTAACTATTTATCAACCCAAGCGCTCCAAAAAAAGAGATTGATAGAAAGCCTCTTGCTCCTTTTCCTCTGCAAAATGTTCCATTCCACAGTAACTATTTCCCAAGTGCATAAGCAGGTTCATTATCATGTGAAGGTGAGGTTTTATTCTGAGAAAAAGATGTTTGAAAAGGAAGTTAAGTGAACCCTGTAATAAGGAACATAAACATTTGGTTAAACTAATAAAAAGCACAATTACCTGCTGGTCTAAATATTTAATTTCAAAATCAGTACTAACATTACCATTGCTATCTAAAACTAGGATACCGCACAACAAAAAACTCCATATATCATGGAGCCAGACAACGAAACACCTTTAATTAATCAGAGAGAAAATCATGCTGAGTTCATCTCTGTATAATTAGATGGATTGGATTTATAGTCCCTACCCAGCAACAGAGCTACCCAAAAGAGACTGTGAGGAGCCCTTTAGCTGACAGCTCTTCCACCTGTCCGCGGGCAGCAATGTTCGTGAATCTGTGTTTAATATCCTCGTTTGCTTGCTTGCTTGCTTTCTCTCCTGTTCCCGTACAGTCCTCTGTGGTATTCCTGTACTTATTTGCTACTCCCAGCTCTAAAGCAATTCAACGCTTTCTGTCTCTCTCTCTGAACTCTGGTTCAAAGTTTGTACAAAACTTCCTAGCTTTGTCTTGCTGAGATCTTACGCTCCCAGTAAGACTGCACGCTCAAAAACTAGAAATCTGTTAAATTTTAAACTACTGGCAAGACAAATGTCTGTGTATGTGACGCTAACAGCAAATAATCACATTTCTTTTTCATTTTATATTGTGGCAACTGTGTTCAGAAACCTCTAATGCAATACTAGATCTTATTGTTGTAACTGATTTAAGCAGTGACATATATAGTACTCCCCTCCCCCCGAGTCAAAATGGAATAATTTAGCTTGAGGTGTATAGCAAATAGTATGTTTTAAACCATCAACTTGGAAAGCGCTGTATGACTTCAGGGGTGACAGTACGAAAAGGAAATATTTCAGATTAATAGGTAGCTTCTTAAAGACTCTCTGTCCTTATTAAGTAAGCAAGCTACAGAGAGAGTACAGCTTTGGCCATACAATAAAGAAATGGGTGCAACAGGCTGTTACAAAAGGCTCTGTTCAACAGAGATTCATCTTGACAACGTATGACTTGGTTCTTGACAACACTTCAGAAAAATCTGGTCTTGGTTATTCAGTAAAAGGCAAACTGGCAAACCTTGGCGCTCTGGTTTATGGCGTCAAGTCCCCCCAGTTTACTACCCTTCCTCAGTGCTGGAAGTTGCTGTCCCTGCAGGAGGGGCAGTGCAATGGAGCATGAGCCTATTCCTCCACCCCCCAGTGCTAAGCCCAACGTTTTAAGACAGAGTTTTACATGGAATTGATTTTTCGGCTCCTGCCGGGCTAATTCATTCACACCTGTGTGCCCTCCCTCACTTGTGCTGGTACCTGTGGTGAAACTGGTGAAGCACAGAGTTAAATCACCCAGAGAGGAGAACAAATATATGAGGAATGGCTGAACTGGAGCAGGGCTGGGAGCGCTTCCCTTGGCAGCAAGGCTGGCTTGACAGGTTCCCAGCCTCGACGGGCGCATCCTGACTCCCACACTGTTGGCTGCCCTGCGGTTGTCATATGGGTGTCTGTGCAAGTTGTGATCATAGATGCACATACAAATATATCCCCAATCCCCTCCAATATGTTTTTTTTTTTAAATTTTGGCCCATTTCAGGGACCCAATTCATCATCTGGCCCCAAAACAACTGTGCTAGTCGCCCTGCTGGGGGAATTACGAGGTGGGTGAAAGGGCCGGTGATGGCACCTCTTCAGCCACTGAGGAAGGAGACCATGAGATTGCATGCTCAGGACAACATCCACATTGTACAATGGCAAGGGAACTTGGACAAAGCTTAATACTGTTTATTTTTGGACATCATTATGTAGGACAACAGTAAGCAATCCCCACCCAAGGCCAGTTTACCACGCGCGACTCCCCTCCTGCAGGGCCTGTTCCAGGAAGGGGCTGGTTCCACGTCCTGTGGGCCACAATCTACTATCGGCCCATGACCAGAAAGGGAGTGTCTGCCTCCAAAATCTCACAGTTCCACACAACTCTGCGGTCTTTACGTGGTAACTTCCTTCAATCAGGTAAAAAAACAGGATATGTGCTTTCCCTCAGGCAGGCGTGTTTCCATAAATGTTTACGACTTGGGGAAATGATTGACGCAGTAGCAAAATTTGGCCGTGGGTACAAACTGGCCCTGAACATGTGTAGGCTGGAAATCAGAAGAAAATTTCTAGTCATCAGACCAGGGGGGAGGGAGAATAACCTCTGAACAGAATTAATAATGGCAAAAAATCTAATTATTTTTAACTTGGAGCACGGTTATGAAAGGAATTATAGGACAGCAGGGCCTCTGAGGTCTGTTTCTCCCCACATCCTTTAAGGAATGTTCAGGCAGGCGCATGTGACTCCCCACAGCTGACACGGCCCCAAGGGGCGTTAAAGAAAATGGTGTAAAGAGCTGTGCTTTTGACAGGGAGGGGAAAGAAAAAAAGCTACACAATGCAAACTTGTGACTTTTAAAATCTGCAGCCAGAGCACGGAACTCTGCAGCTGAGGCTTTCGGTGTACGTGGAAACAACCGCTTGTCCATCAATGGATGATATTTGGATTTTATGGCTTGTATAGTTAAAAGTCTTTGCCACGCCACAACTTTCATCCACCGAGCACAAGCCCACGTAGGGAAGGGGGACAGCCTGCCGGGCTACCACGGGGGAGGCGCCGCCGCCTCCGCCGGGCTCCGCGGCCGCGCACGGCCCCGCGCTGAGGGGCAGCCGGGCGGCGGGAGCGGGTCTCGAACCCGCGGCTCC